CAATGCACGTGCACAGAGAGCTCCACCTTTTACGCTATGCAGTTGTCAGTGTGCTGCCATGCAAGGACCAATGACACGAGGCATCTACACAACACTGGTGTTTATCACTCAGCATTGTCCCACCCCACCTTCATCCAGAAGCCCCCGAAGACCTTTCAGTAGAGTACGGTGGTTTTCAGCGCTGGGTGCAGAACACAATCACGCGGGGATGGTAGGTGATATCTGGCCCCCGCTACCCACTGAGGTGCTCAGCTGGTGTGGACTGGAGCCTGCCATCCAAAGCTCACTGCATGTGGCCAGGACTGATCGAAGGCACTGGGCGGCACCAGCTCCACCCCATTCAACTCTCTGAGCCCGTTTCCTCATCTGTAAAATGGGGCTAATAGGACCTCATCATAGGGTTGCTGCAATACAATAATTAATTTTAGGTATTATGTAAATTTGTGAAATAACACACATAAGGCACCTGGCACAGCATCTTGCACAAAGAAGAAGGAGCTCAATAAATATCAAATATTGTTATTATCACCTGGTCCCAACCTTGCATTTTCATGGATGAGAAAACAAAGACCGCAAAAGGGGGCAACATTGCCCCACATCTCACGGCAAGATCAGGTCTACTCAGATCACTCACTGAACCCCCAGGAAAGGCCAGCGATGTGGCAAGGGGAGGGGATTTAAGGATGGGTAAAACCCCAGACTAGAGCCGCAGCCTTCCGCCCCAATGTACTAGGTAGGATAGAGTCTACGATTTCGTGCTATTTGGAATAGGGGAGAGAAGTGGAGACATTTGCTCAAAATAACCAGCAGAAATCATCTTCCAGAAACCAAATAAAAGTCTTGGAAGCCTTTGTTATTGTCAGTCCCTCAGATGTCACTTCACTGTTTAAGAAAGTGATAGCTTTTCTCTGACATTTGAAAATGACATTTTTAAAAGAGTTCATCCCATCGACCTATCATTTCTCCCTTCTTAGAAGACAGGATGGCCGGGCGCGGTGGCTCACGCCTGTAATCCCAGCACTTTGGGAGGCCGGGACGGGCGGATCACGAGGTCAGGAGATCGCGACCATCCTGGCTAACAGGGTGAAACCCTATCTCTACTAAAAATACAAAAAATTAGCCGGGCATGGTGGTGGGCACCTGTAGTCCCAGTTACTCAGGAGGCTGAGGCAGGAGAATGGCGGGAACCCGGGAGGCGGAGCTTGCAGTGAGTCGAGATCATGGCACTGCACTCCAACAAAACAAGACTCTGTCTCAAAAAAAAAGACAGGATGAGAATGGGGCAAAATCGCAGCCATGTGAATACTATAATTCTGGACAGCAGGGTGGCACTGGGCCTGGATGGGCAGTGGCACCTTGAGGTGCCAGATGCTCAGCGCTCCAGATTCCTACTCAGATTTTGAAAGACATTATCAGCCTAATCATTTCCCACAAGGGCAGACAAAAACGAGCCTAGGAACGACATCCACGCAGGGCCCCTGAAGAGATTTTTGTCATGGTGGGCAATTACACTAAGCAACTTCCAAGGTTTTAGTCAAACAAAACCAGCTTGGCTGTCCCCAGTCCCAGGCCTGCAAAGCTCTGTTATAGACACAGGAGTTAACAGAGGCACTGTTCACTCTAATCTCATGAAATCTCCTACCCCCAGGCCCGTTCAAGACCTTTACACGACCGTGACACTAAAGGGTTGTGGGACTCTGCTTCCAAATCAAATTTAGAATTAAAACAGCACTAATCTATTAAATACATAAAGGTCAACCAAGTTCTGATGATTTTTATGTTTACTAGGATAATCAAAAATTTAAATTACTAAACCAATTACCCTTCTCCTCCTCCAAATATGCTCAATTTTGTTGGTTGTTTTTGTTTTTGCTGCCTTGCTTATCCCCAGTCTGCCCATCTGGTAACCCAACACTGCCTAACCTCCTACTTGCTTACCTTTCTGATGGCAAATTGGTGGCTTAGAGTCAGTAAGAGCAACACTATCAGCAGCGTGGACAAAGGGAGCGTGCTCTCTGCCACCAAAGCGCATGTGGTGACAGCAGCCACACTGACGCCATTACTAAAGGGAGCATGCTCTCTGCTACCAAAGAGCACGTGGTGACAGCAGCCACACTGACGCCATTACTAGATCCCAGGCGCTTTGCTCCAAACACTTTACATTGTTCCAATCCTTACAAACTCCTGCAATGTCAGTCGTATAACCAAAGTGGCTAAGCCTACATTCAAAGCCAGGTGTGACTCCTCTGAGTCAGAAAGGCTCCGCTGAGAAGCTCAGCTGTCGGGTATGACATAGCACACCAGCCCAGCCAATCAGACATCAAATTCAATCACCCCAGCAGGAAATCTGTTAAGAACCCATAGAGCCCAGGCATGCTGGCTCACACCTGTAATCCTGGCACTCCGGGAGGCCAAAGCAGGAGGACTGCAAGCCCAAGAGTTCAAGACCAGCCTGGGCAATGCAGTGAGATGCCAGTCTCTATTTTTGAAAAAAAAAAAAAGAAAATTTTTTTTTTAATGAGAGAAAAAGAGAAAAGAACCAATGGAGAACTCCTATGGAAACACTTTCTGTGACTCTGGGAGCCTTACTGGCAGCTCTGAACCTGGCAGGGCTCCTTCCAGCTCCTGAACTCTTCATGATCCCCAATTGCAGTGCGGTCGGGTTCATCGTTGGCATCAAAGTCATCCCCCAGGGACCCATCAGGGACGTCTCCGCAGTCACTCTCAACTTCAGCGTTGATATCAAACACCTGGTCATTCTTCTTAAACTTGTCTACCAGGGCCGACACAGACTGGAGGGACAAAAGAGGGTTCTCTAAGTCTCACTCCTGTAACCACCCCAAACCACCACGGGAGGGACAGCCTTCTCACCCTTAAATTTCAGTTTCCAGCCTCCTCCATCCCCGAGCCACCCTTCCCCATCCCCTGCCCGCCCAGACCAGGACTCTCCCGACAGCACCATGAGGAGGAAGTTTGTATTGTGCAGCACAGGATGAGGCTGCATTGTTGTCAGGTACATTTTGTGAAACATGAGACAGGATTTTGGATCCATTAACTACATGTTTGCAGAAAACAGTTTTCCTTGGAGACCATTTATTTTGGAAATTGTAGTAAGTAGGCTAAAGGGGGCCATGCTAAAAATACACAGAGGAAAGCTCCACACATGACAATCTCTCAGGAAACTCTGTGCCAAGGGACTCAACCCCAAAGAGCAGGAAATTCCTCAAGCTTGACAGCAGCCTCAGAGATTCGAGGCCACTGGGATAACTACATTCAAGAGTAAATCTAACTATAAATGTTCACCCAGTAATGTCAGGGCTGCCTTACCCTAGGAGAGCAGAAGAGGGGACATGAAGTTGACCCCGCAACTCATTTACCTCTAGAATAGTCCTGCTGGGGTTCACAACCCTACCCCTCCTCCCTCAGGGTTTCTGTCCCTACGGAAGTGCCAAAGGAAATATTTTCTGTAGTCCTGGCTAAATAAAGATGATGCCACAGTTTTGGTTCCCACTGGGCAGCACCAATCTTGAGCCAACTAACTGAAACCACGAGCCACTAAAAGCTGACCACACCTCATTATGTGTTTCACTGTCCCACTGAGTAAACTGGAACCCGGCCAGGGAAGGGCAGATCTGGCGATCTTCCGCACACTGCTGCAAGGGCGCTGGAGAGGATGGCAAGATCACAAAGAGAGATTAGAAGTGGGTCAAGTGCATTCCTTCCTCCCTTCAGAATGATACTGAGTGGCAAGAGAGACGAGAGGCACAGTTACCTCATTGTCCTCCAGCAAAGGCTCAAGTATCGTCAGTGGCTGGCTGGCAGCCAGTCTCTGTCCCTGCCTCTCCTGGGGCCAGCGGATGCATAGGCCACACCCACACTGGAGTGAGGCTCTGCACTGTCATCGCACAGTTTAGTAAAATACTAGAGGAGAAACCTAAAGCACAGACATTTGATTCTGAAATGAATTCCGTGACCTATGCTATAGCTGGGAAATGAAATGCTTCGTCTTAAAAATACACTAAGTGCATAGGCAATCATGTAACGGTACTTTATTTTTTGTCCCATACTAACTAGAGAAGACCTACTTCAGAGGATTAGAGCCCCAAATGAGAGCACAAACTTGGAAAATAGATTGTTAGCACAAAAGTTATACCAAACAAAATTGAGGCAAGAATAGAAATGACAAGAATGGGAGCTGGAACAACTGCACAGCCTGGAGGAGGAGTATCAATTTCATTCGCCATGTAAAAATGACCGCACTTGAGATGAAGCTCAGCGAGAGGACGAACACGGCAGTGGAAATCCGCAGAAGCGGGCAGCTCTTCTGGGAGCCCAAGTGTAGCTACTGCGCTGCACACACCTGGCCTCCCCACCTGCTGGTACCTCATTACGACATCCTGAGGAGAATCTCCAACTCAGGGGCAGAGGCATAAATGGGAAGGATGCTAAAATCTCTGTCAAGCCAGTATAGGGGACTGACAATAGGCGAGATCAGTTCTTAGACTGCTGCAGAGGAGTCTCAAAACAATTCACAATGCTCTCTTCTCCTCAGGGCCCCCTGGATGGGGAGCAAATAAAGACAAAGCCTCTCTGGCTAGGCAAAGGTCTCTCTAGGTCCCCTTCCCAAGTACAAACTCTGACACTCCAGGAGGAATCCAGGGCTCCAAAATGTGACTTGGAGAGCTGACTGCAAACAGTGGGCACCTAAGGTACGGGGCACATCAAGACGAAGAGGCAATGGTTTACTGTTTTAGACTCCATGTCGCAGAGAAGACAAAAGTTAGTGGATTGCAAGGCACTCCCAGAAGAATACACAATTTGGCATTCCAGAGAACATTTCTGGGTAATTTAAGCAACATAGGAGCATGACGGGCTTATGGTACCCCATGGTTATGTAAAAAATTCCTCAATGACTGAAATGTTCTGGTGAAAGGCATCACTTGTACTTACCTTTTAAATCTGTCATTTCTACCCAACCTAACTCTGGCAACTCGAGAGGTTCTCCCGTGGAGAGCGTCTGGACATCAGAGGGAAACAGCAGCTCACTTCTGTAGTCCTGGCAGTGGAGCGTGGACAGAAACACCCCCGCTGTGCTGCACTCATCAAACGAGGCTGCCGTCTTCTGAAACATGGGATCAATCTGAACACAGGGAGAGAAGACACTGAAGGTTTACGGCATGTAGCCAAGGGAAATATAAACTCTCACGCCTTTGGCCCCGCTCGTTAGCAGGTGTATACAATGGACTGAAATATCTACACTCATGGTCAAAAGTGTGTTTTGTTTGTTTGTTTGTTTTTGAGACGGAGTCTTGCTCTGTCGCCCAGGCTGGAATGTAGTGGCATGATCTTGGCTCACTGTCAACCTCTGCCTCCCAGGCTCAAGCGATTCTTGGGCCTCAGCCTTCCAAGTAGCTGGGACTACAAGTATGCGCCACTACACCTGGCTAACTTTTGCATTTTTAGTAGAGACGGGGTTTCACCATGTTGGCCAGGCTGGTCTTGAACTCCTGACCTCAAGTGATCCACCCACCT